ATAATAGCACTTACTTCCCTGGGTTGTTATAATGATCTGATGAGATAATCGTAAAGTGCACAGTACCTGGCACAAAGTAAATCTTATATAAATATTAACTATTATGTGCAAGTGAGCACTTCTTTTTCTGAATGGTTGCCGTTATCTTATAGCCTCTATTAAGAAGATTGGAGGTTTATAAATGGAAAAGACCTCAGAGTTCATTTAGTATGATCTTATTTTAAAGATGAGGAAACTGAGGCCTAGAATTTTCCTGCTTTTCAATTATGCTATCTATCTATCTATCTATCTATCTATCTATCTATCTATCTATCTATCTATCTATCTATCTATCTATCTTTCATCTATCTATCTTTGCCACTACCTGAGTTAGAGGGTAGTTAATAACTTTAAGAGTCTCCTAGCTAGAACACTTTCACCACAATGGTGAATGAATAAGACAAGAATGTGCTTGCTCCATGCTATTGTTGATTGTTTTCTTAATGTCAAGTAGTTCAGGGTAAATATTATCAGTTTTTTCCTGGTGGGCATTTTTTAGCTAGAAGAGATGCTTTGATATCCTAGATTATCTATAATAATTTTTGAGGTGTCACTGACTAAAATGATCATTTACTAATCATGCAGATTTACTTGAATTTAAATCAGTCAACAAGCATTAAGTACTTTTACTATATAAATCATTCAAAATCTAATACCACTTCATCTTTTCCCAAAGAGACAAAATTTACCTAGTTGAAACTAATTATAGAAAAAGAGAATCAAAGACTGACAGTATCTATTAGAATAAGGTGTTTTCAGAAAGATGTTATTTATATTAAAATTTGTAGGCCATAGTGTTATCCATGTTTCCTGTAAATGAAGGCATTTTATGTGTTTAAAAAGCCCAAACCTATAGCATTGAAGCCCAGAATGCCATGTTGGATAGAGCAATTGTGTTTGTCATGATTGTTGAGGTTTTTGAAGTAATTTTCTATAGATAATAGCAATTTGAAAAGGAATAAGAATTATTTTAATTTGTAAGTAAGTCTTTGGGGTCTACCAACTATTGCTTGAATAGTTTACATTTCCTTTTAAAAATTCCTGGTATGTCTGCTGCATGAAGCAGTATGGCATAGTGACTAAAGAGGGCTGGTTTTGGCTGTTAGCTCAAATTCTACCTTTGGCTGTGAGACTGAACAAAAATCACTTAACCTCTTAATGCTCTAGGCAACTATCTAAAACTGAGTCACTGAGTCACAAATACATTGCCTTGCTGAAACTTCCCTGTATAATTCCAAGTTTTTAAAAGTCCGCCACATTGGATTTTGGTTATATCAAAATATTAACTTGGAAATCATGTTACCTTTAGGATAAACATAATCTCCTACATCTGTGGTTCAGCATATTATGAGTATTGGAAATGGCTAGTTTCAATCTCTTTCTTATTCCTAGTTGCTGGCATGTGGCTAAAATAATGTGTGAGACTTTATTACATTGGAAGGACAAAGAGTGAAAGAAGTTAAGAGATGCATGCCATGGTTGAGTCTATCCAGTATTGCATTCTGATAGTGGCATGACAGGCATTCAAATAGAAAAACATAGTTATCTTTTTAGCACTGACCTCAAGTTAGTATGAGATTCACAAAAGCTCTTTTTAATTATCTGTTATAGAGATATCACTTGTAAATGATGTTAATAATATATTTCCTTACTGATTACTTAATTTTAAGTTGCTCCTCTCCCCCCCCCCCCCAGTTAGTCTCTAGAAGGCTTTAGAATCTTAGTGAGCAAGCAATTCAAATCTCTTTTGCTTTCCTTCTTCTGGGGAAGTTATTTGAGCTTTTGCTTTTGCAACACAATAGGTCTTCTTGAAAGTGTAGTAGGAATAGGTTTCATCATATCCTGCCTCTGACACTTACTACCTGTATAACCTTGGGCAAGGTACTTAACCTTAGCACTGACCTCAGGTTAGCAAGAGACTCAGAATTGCCCTAACTTTTAGCAATGGGCCTCAGTTTCCTCATTTGGAAAGTATAGGAATTGTACTTAAAAAGTGTGAGAGATATACATAAGTATATACACACATACATATACACATACTCATAAATATATCTTTAATATCTGTATTTTGCACAAGCTTAAGTACAATATATGTACGATACATGACAAATGTATATATGATACATATGCATACATATCTCATCCTGTGTTATCTTCAACAGGTGTGTGAGACAGGTATTGTAAATGTTACTCCTCTCACTATATGGGCAAGGAAACAAGATTAGAAGGTAAAGTGATTTGGCCAATGTCAGTCATAGGATATGACAGGGTTATGATTTAGAACCCTGGTCTTCTGACTTAACTCCACTGTGGTTCTTTTCACTAAATCCCATGTTTCCTCCCATATAAGGGCACTTATACACAGAAGCCTCATAACTACTAAAAGCAGCAGTAAGAATTTGCTTGCTTTCAATTTAAAAAAAAAGGCAAAAACTGTATATATGTAATGCTAAATAGTATAGCACAGACCAAAAATTAAAATAGATTATAAGAATGATTTCCACCCAATTACTTAATCAAAAGGAATCTATAAAGATATTCATGCTTTGAATATTTAATTGAATATTAAAAAACCCTTCCCCCCCAATGTTTTCCAGTCTTTAAGCACTTGTCAATGCACATTTTGAAAAAGTATTTGTATTTTTGTTATTATAAGTGTTTTTCCAGTTAAGCATTTAATGTGTAAGACATATAAGCTTTAATTTTATATTTTCCAGTTACAAAAGAAGGAACGGGTTTATTTTTGACAATACTAAGACCATGAATAACATTTAAGGACAATTATAAGTAATCAAAACCAAGTATGGATTTTCCAGGGACTGATTTTTCAGATGGGGACCTTTTTTTACTTCCATTATTGACCAACCATTCTTTTGGCCCTCACCTATTTAAGACCTCCCCCCACCCCAAACAGATTCAGTGCAAAAACAAAAAGAGCTCCCACTCCAGTTTTACTACTTATTAGCAACCATTAAATAAATGAAAATTAATGGCTAAAATGAGTTTCAAAAATTTTTTCTTTGGGCTTTTATTATTCAGGGTATTCCTTCCCAAATGTAACTGAGACAATTTGACCTTTATGAAGCTCAGGTCATTTTGCAAATGTTAAATATTTTATTTATCTTTACATTTCCTTGTGAACAAGTGCTTCCAAAGAGTGGAAGTTGCAGGTGACCCAAAAAGGCAAAGGAGAGAGACATTGTGGTAGGCACAAGTAGCATTTTGCTAACCTAGGTGTAAGAAGTGGCACGGGCAATATCTTCAGGGGAATGTATGGTTCAAAAAAAAAAAAAGGTGAGCCACTAACAACTCAGATGCTGTAACTGGTTTCCACAAAAGGTAAAAAGGCCTAGAGGCAGAGATTCCATAAAGGATCTCAGGTACAACAAGGACAAGAATCTCACAAGATGAGAGGGTATGGGTGGGCTGTGATCTGCAAGGATGGAGGGAGTGTGTACACATGATAGGTTTAGATTAAAGCGATGAAATATCCATGTAAAATGGATACCTGTTTCTGAAAAGCTCACATTGGGGGGAAAAAAAGGATCTTCAGACTGGATTCTTGTTAAGGAGTAGGCCAGGACTACTATGGAGAAGTCTATGAATTTAGAAAATATGGTTCTTGATTCAAACTGTTCTCTTGTGACAAATAGGACAAAAGCCAGATTAATAGCACTGCCATCACAACAGCACTTTACAGGTAGTGGATTAAGATCACCTAATTCAGAGATAAAACAAACAAGTTTTAGGGACTACGATCTTCTTAAATTTCAGTTCTGAGTCTCCCAAGCAAAAAATTCAGAAAAGGCTAGCAATTATTCTGGCTCTAAGTCTATGATCTTATGTTTAAAAAATATTTTTTAAAGAAAGAAAAGATTTTGAGAGAAAAATTTTCACTCAGGGATTCCTTTACAGTAGAGGGACTGGTAAGATGGCATTTACAGCTGTAATGTTTACAAATTCATAACCATTTTTTTCATAGGGTAGGCCTTTGTTTCTTCCAGGTAGCTTGTGACTGGGCTTAAGTATTCTCCAGAGGCAGGATCAGAATCAGAGTGACCCACACTGGGTGCAAGAGAATCATTCAGTACTAATTCTCCAGACGGGAAGTTTCATGTGAATTTAACTACAGGCCTCTTCTGCATGATGACTAAAAAAACTTATAAGATCAAACATATCTGAATGGGCAGGATTCTAAAATGCCTCAGAGGAGTTTCCTTTAATAAATATAAGGAGGGTGCCTGGAGATGCACCTTTCTGGGTTTACAGGCACAACAAATTTTGATTCAAGCTTAGTTAGGTACCAAGCACTGCGCTAGGCTTTTGGGGTTTAAGAAAAGAAAGGCACTGCCTACCCAAGACAAATTTAAAAAGTGTAATGGGGAAGCTAGGATGCACAAGATTGAATGACTAGGAAAAATTTGTTTAGGCACTGAACAAAAACGCACAGCAGCTCATGGCAGGCATGATGCATGATAAGAAAATAGGAAAAATGCCGATGCATGGAGTTCAGCTAGAAAAAGGATGTGAAATGTCTGCAGGAATGGACACGTTTGGATCTAAGTGACTTCCAGGCTGGAGGTTGGGGGGGTGGGTTGGTTATTTCCTCTGTGGAACTGTGGGCTCCGTTCCGTTCTGAGTCTCGTTCACCGCAAGCCTTTTTTCGCACGGCCTCCATTTGCCTAGTCCGCTTGGAAGGGCACCCTGGCCTTTGGCGCTCCGCTCCCGAAAGGTAGTGTGGGGGATAACTACGGTAATGAGGCACAAGGAGGCCTGAGCCAGCCCCCTCCGCAGAAGCAGCATCAGCGCGCCGCGCGGGCTTTTCCACTGCGCAGCAACTACCGTAGGGGAGGAGGAGGGGCGGGTATATTACGTGCGCGACACCGCCCCGACGAGAGGACGTTGCGTGCTCGCTCGCGCCAGGCGAGTCTCCGCGTCTCCCTCGCGAACTCGGTGAAAGGAATTGGCGCCGTTCGACTCCAGGCGGGTCCGCTCTGCAGCACGAACCCCCCTCCAGCCGCAGCCGCAGCCGCCGCCCGGGGCCGAGGAGCAGCCGCAGCAGCCGCCGCCAGTGGCCGTGTGAGCGGAGCCGAGTCGCAGTCAGCGCCGAGCGGTGAATTGGGGCCCTCACGATGAGTTCTTCGCCAGTGAACGTGAAGAAGCTGAAGGTGTCGGAGCTAAAGGAGGAGCTCAAGAAGCGGCGCCTCTCTGACAAGGGCCTCAAGGCCGAGCTCATGGAACGGCTCCAGGCCGCGCTAGACGACGAAGAGGCCTCCGGAGGTCGCCCCACCTTGGAGCCCGGGAACGGCAGCCTGGACCTGGCCGGGGATTCCGCCGGGCGCTCGCACACGCAGCCCTCGGGAGCAGGCCTCGAGCAGGAGGCCGCGACCACGGCCGACGAGGAAGAGGAGGAGGAGGAGGAAGAAGAGGAGGAAGGGATCGCGGCCCTGGATGGCGACCAGATGGAGCTAGGAGAAGAAAACGGAGCCACGGGGGCGGCTGATTCGGGCCCAATGGAGGAGGAGGAGGCGGGCGGCTCCTCGGAGGACGAAAACGGCGACGACCAGGGCTTCCAGGAGGGGGAAGACGAGCTCGGGGACGAGGAGGAGGAAGCGGGCGCGGGAGACGAGAACGGACACGGGGAGCAGCAGTCTCAACCGCCGACTACGCCGCAGCAACAGCAGCCTCAGCAGCAGCGCGGGGCGGCCAAGGAGGCCGCGGGCAAGAGCGGCGGCCCCACCTCGCTGTTCGCCGTGACGGTGGCGCCTCCCTCGGCAGCGAGGCAGGGCCAGCAGCAGGCGGGAGGCAAGAAGAAGGCGGAAGGCGGCGGAGGCGGCGGCCGCCCCGGGGCTCCGGCGGCGGGTGAGTGGCGTTTAGTGAATTTTGTGTGTGTGTGTGGTGTGTGTGGTGTGTGTGTGTGTGTGTGTGTGTGTGTGTCGGTGTCGGGGTGGGGGAAGGGGTGAGAACCGCGGGCCTGGGGTGGGGACCGTGCCCCGGGGCCTCCACCCATCCCCCATGAGGGGGATGGGGGATGGGGAAGCGGCTAGGGAAGGGCGAGGGGAATTATAGTGGACTAGCGAGGAAAGGGCGGAGGCGCCGGTGCTTTTCCCGGTGGCCGGAGGCCTGGTTGGGGGAGGGGAAGGTGGGGGGGGCGGTTGCGGGGGAATCCCAGATTAGCCGTGAAGTCTCGGGCTCTGTGTGTATGTATGTACGTACGTGTTGTGTGTGTGTGTGTGTGTGTGAGAGAGAGAGAGAGAGAGAGAGTGACGGCGGCGCCACCATTATCTGGCTCGAGAGCCAGGGGGAGCTGCAGCTGCCGCTGGAGGGGGAGGAGCGGCCGCTGGCGGCGGGAGAAGGTTCCCCCCCTCCCCCGTGCTCGGCGCTGCGTGCGCGCGGTGCGGGCACATGTCTCCGCACTGGGGGGAGGGGAGGGGAAGGAAAAGGGAGGACGATGGGGGGGGTGGAGATCGAGGTCCCGGGGCTGGCGCGCGGTGGCGGCTCCAGCTCTCACGTTGCCACCGTATTGTGCAAGGAGCGCAGGGGCTTTGGCGTGACGTCACTTCCTGTTGGCGGTCCCGGCGGGGAGGGGGTAGGGTTGGGGTGGGTTAGGGGGAGAGTTAGAACGAAGATCTGTACAATGCGGCCGCGGGGAGCGCGGGCCCAGCCGGAGTGGGGGGAGGGGAGGGAGAGAAAAAGCTCGGAGCCCCTCCTCCTCTCTTCTCTGTGCTCTCATTGGGATACACGTGGGCTCTGCTTATTCCGCGCTATTCTATGTGGCGCTCGCTGGAATCATCGAGTAGCCTGGGAGATTTGCGCTATCTCTACGCTGCGTCACGAACTGCAATCCTTTAACAACCCTACTGCTCCTTCGGTTAATAAATGGTTGGCCAGTTAGGGGATTATTGAAACCCGGGAAAAATGGCAGGTTAACACAGCAAGCTTTTTAAACTTCCCAGATTACAAATGGACTAAGCTTTTTTGGGTTTTGGGTTTTTTTTTTAAATTTAAAAAGATGTCCTAACCTTTGTAGGAGATGGCAAAACAGAACAGAAAGGTGGAGACAAAAAGAGAGGTGTTAAAAGACCTCGTGAAGATCATGGCCGGGGCTATTTTGAGTACATTGAAGAAAACAAGTACAGCAGGTAGGGAAGTTTATCTGATCTTCACTGAACAAATGAATCAGGAATAACGAGAAAGCTATGTCAGGAGATATTCTCTTTTTTCAGAGCTAAATCTCCTCAGCCACCGGTTGAAGAGGAAGATGAACACTTTGATGACACAGTGGTTTGTCTTGATACTTGTAAGTGGATATCCTCCAATCTTCTTAATTTTGCATAGGACCAAAAATTTACTATGTTCTAGGAAATTTGCATTTGTGAAAGATACCTTGTATACAAGTGTAGAAATAATCTGATTAACTTGTATGCCAGTTTTTTGAAAAAGGTTACCACAATCCACATGGAAATCATTAGGTAAGGCATAAACAAAACGGTACTTAATTTAGTCATATGTTCTGGTCTGGCAACACCATAGCAACTTGGTGCTTTTTTTTTCTCCTTTGGAGTATGGAATATTTAGGTGATTAACTTTTGAATAGAAAAGGTAATTTATAAGTATTCTTATTTTGTCCTTTCAGTTTTATAAGAAAATGTAATAAGTGTTAGTGGTGGGAAATTAATAATTGACCTATTGGGACTAGTATTTATTGTAAACTCTTAAAATTTCATTAAGTGAATTTAGGACTTCCATTGTTCGATTTTTTTTGGTACTGGGAGTTACCAGATTTATCTTACTAATGATTTTCCCTTTAGTTCACAAGTATATTCCCTTTTTCTAACAATTAAACTGTAACATTACTTTCTCAATAACTGCTGTTTTGTTCTCAATTGCAGTTCAGTAGCTGCTGCTTTAACATAAGTTGGTGTCTTCCAAAGACCTGGGGCAGCAGCAGTGGCTATCTCTGGGCCACTAGCTTTCTTCAGCAGCGAATGGTATCAAGGGCAGCGCTGTAATGCTGCTACTTTTACCCAGATGGGTTGTAATTCATTATGTGGAAGCATTGCAAACCTATAAGTGGGCCTTGGCTGTCTGTTCAGTTAATTTTAGTGGTTGTGTGTCTTTTAAAAATGTACCTGATTCATTATTTGGTCAAAATTTGCTAATGTAGGTAGGTGGTCTATTTGGAACAAAGGGTAGAAATAGGAATTGATATTCAGGCAGGTAAGATGTGTTTTGTGAATTTTTTTTAAAACTTGGGAACATTTTAAGTCCCCAAAAAGCACATTTAGTGGAAACGGTCAAAAGGGATTTCAGATTAGGGTGGCTAGAACAACATTACTAATGAGAGCCTTCCATTTTAAAGTTGATAAATATTCGGATTTTTGGTTTGTTTTTAAATATTGGGCCAAGAGTAACCATACTTAGAGGAAGTGGTGGTCCTTAGAAAACAGCAGTGTAAATTAGTGTTTTTTAAACGGAGAGGAAAGGATTGCCAAGACCTTTTTAATTTCTCATCATGCCTTCATTTTATGCAGAGAAAAAGTTAAGGTCCACCAGGTCAATTGGCAAGGTATAAAAGGGTAGAGAAATAACAAGAATAAACAATCTAAAAAGACTTCTAACCCCTTATTTTATTTAATAACTTGAGTTTCTTTACCCTGAAAGGAATTTACCTATTCTAACACTAGTCATAAAGTGCTAATAAGCAGTAAGTAGCCCTCAATTAAGGAAAAAGAATTTGCATGGTGCAAAGGTCCCGAATAATGGAGAGATAGCTGTATCCTTATGACCTTGAGGGGGAGGTGTTTAGTGACTTTCTGTAAATATTATCTTGACGATACTGAGATTTCATTCACAAATTTTTGAAGAAAACTTAAGACCTTGGGCCCTGAGGTAGTCTTTACAAAGGGCTGAGACCCACAACTCACACCCTATTTTAAACCAGTTGGTCATGGCCTCCCTACCTTCAGTATGTTGTGGCACTGGTAAATGCTACCTGATTCTGGCATGCTTCACTTTGTGATTTCCTGCTATCCTCTGCTGCTTGGCTCTAAATCAAGGTAAAGAGCAGAGCAGGTATGTATGAACATCACATTGTCTTCATTACCTGTCTTAAGTGGCTTTTTTTTAAAGTGTACATATATAAAACCATGGAGATTTATCTTTTATTTTTTGTCTAATTAGCCGCCTTCTAATTCAGAATTTGGCACGAGAGTTTTTTGGCGGGAGTGGGGTTATTTAATCTCTAAGCAGTTCAGAGTAATGGTTCATCCCGATGTAAAGTCTTTATGCAACATCAAGAAAGTTGTAATACTTTGGGGGATTTATTTGTATGGTCCTTTAGACTTAAGAATTTGTGCAAAAGAAAATAATAGGTATTTGTTGTACTTACAGATAATTGTGATCTGCATTTTAAAATCTCAAGAGACCGTCTCAGTGCTTCTTCGCTTACTATGGAGAGTTTTGCTTTTCTTTGGGCTGGAGGAAGAGCTTCCTATGGAGTTTCAAAAGGCAAAGTTTGTTTTGAGATGAAGGTAAGCCAAATTTTGTAATAAGAGTTCTGTTTGCTGCAATTTTGGCAGTTATTTTTAGCTCTTAAGTAGAATGCTAAATATTATTTTTCTATGAGCCACAAAGGAAATTATTGTAAAGTCATTATGTATAACACTCAAATATGAGGAAAAAAATCATTACGGTGGGAGTAGTACAGAATTGGACCAAACTTAAGTTATATTTTGACAGTATAAATGGGGAAAATAAAGTATTCGAGTTGAAAGCTTTGTTAATTGAAACATTGCGTGAATAAATCTACAATTGCCTACAACCTGAAAAGGTTAGGAAAGAATCTCCATCACAGCGGCAGCCAGTAGTGACTAGTCATACTAAATATCACATCAGCAGAAGTATCAAACTAGATCCAGAAATTTCTCATTCCTAGTCTATATCCAGACTTGCTGATTTGTCTACCCTTCAGGTTACAGAGAAGATTCCAGTGAGACATTTATATACAAAAGATATTGACATACATGAAGTTCGGATTGGCTGGTCACTTACAACCAGTGGAATGTTACTTGGTAAGACCATCTGTGTGTGCATTGTATGAGATATACGTAGATCTCACAAGTTAGCTTAGGTTTATGGCTAAGATGAATTTGAATTCATATGATAAAGCTAGATTTCTACAATAACCCATTCCTGTTTACATAGTTTTCTGTCTGCTTTCAGGAAATGTAGACATTGAGAATAATCGTTATCAAGTTCCCAGAATTGATAAGAAGCAGGGTTCTGGAGTATACAGATCCTGTTTTTTAGATTTTCTTTTTCCCTTACCTGCCAAAAGGAAAAGTGACACCTAAATCAATTAAAATCAAAGTTCATATTGGAGTTTTTTCCTTTTTTTTGGTGAGGTGATGGGGGTTAAGTGATTTGCCCAGGGTCACATAGCTAGTAAGTCTTATGTGTCTGTAGATGCAGATTTGAACTCGGATCCTTCTGATTCGAAGGACAGAGCTGTATCTACTGCCCCACCTAGTTGCCCCTCATACTGGATTTTTAATAAATTCCTTCTAACAACTGCAAGCTAATTAAAATTTTCTACTTCTAGGTGAAGAAGAATTTTCTTACGGGTATTCTCTAAAGGGAATAAAAACATGCAACTGTGAGACTGAAGAATATGGGGACAAGTTTGATGAAAATGATGTGATTTCGTGTTTTGCTGTAAGTTGTGACTATAAACAATTTAAAATGTATTAAATACACCATTAGAATTAGATAAGTGCATAGAATGAGAGTTCTTTCTGGGGTATAATTCTAGAAGAATTGGCTTTTAACAGTTTGGAATAACTTAGTAATTTTACAAATAGTAACTTAGACATTTCAGAAATGGAAGGTCATTAAAACAACATGGGTGTGTAAACTATACTGATTATAATTTTCATTAAGTTAATGTGGATCTTGAATTTGAGTCCTGATATTTTTTAAAATTTTACTTTTGAAACTTAACTGGATTTTGGCAAAATGTCAGATTTGTTACTGAAATATTAATTCTTTAACAGAATTTTGAGGGTGAAGAAGTGGAACTTTCCTATGCAAAGAATGGACAAGATCTTGGCGTGGCTTTCAAAATTAACAAGGAGGTTCTTGCTGGACGACCTCTTTTCCCTCATGTTCTCTGCCATAATTGTGCAGTTGAATTTAATTTTGGTCAGAAAGAAGAGCCATATTTCCCAATACCTGAAGAATATACTTTCATCCAGAATGTCTCCTTAGATGATCGTGTTAGAGGGCCAAAAGGACCAGATGAGAAGAAAGATTGTGAAGTAAGTAACATTCTTTTATCTGTTTATAGTCACTTTGAGATTGACTGAGTGTTTGGCAATTCTGTACCACTCACTAATGTTTTAGAAATGACAGATTAGTCTGAACTTTTAAAATTTACCTCTAAGTGCAGCTGTTACTACTTTCTTCAGTGCTGTATGTACATCTTCATTTTAATGGTAAAATATTTTAGTGTTATTTGTGCATTAAGGGCAGAGCAGTATTTCTGGTACAGTCATGAGATGTGTTTTTTGTATGTTGAACAGCCTAAAGTTTTCAAAGCAATTGATCTTGCATACATCCAGATGCTGTGACAACTGTGAAGTTGTGATAAGTATTAAACTCTTGGCATTTTATAGATGAGGAAACTGAGACTAAATGAACTGTCCAAGGTCAAATAGCTAGTTAATGTCAGAGTTCTTTACTCAGGGTGTAAAGGTACAGCAGTTTTTCCATGGCAGCCTACTGAAAAAATGTTAAGAATTAAATGGGATTTTTTTTCAAGTGCGCTTCCTTCACAAAGTAGTCCCACGAACCAAAATAGTGAAAATCCTTTATGTAGTGCTTGGCATTAGAATAATGCATACAAGTTTTTATATTTGGGGTGGGGAATAGATAGTCTTATTCTTAAAAGCAACTTAATTTTAAAAGGTTAGCCTATCTTTTTTGAGTAAGGGATAGCAAAATAACATTTTAGTTTCTTGATTGCAGGTTGTGATGATGATTGGCTTGCCAGGAGCTGGAAAAACCACCTGGGTTACTAAGCATGCAGCAGAAAATCCTGGTAAATACAACATTCTTGGAACAAACACTATTATGGATAAAATGATGGTAAGTAATATATCTGTAATCTATCTGGGAACTCTGAAATGTCCATTTGAAATCTTTTTGACTTTTTTTGATAGATTTACCTATACTACGAAGACATAAGTAATAGGAAATTTGTTGCTTAAAGTAGGCTTCATTATCTTAATTGTACTATTTGGAATTCTAAGTTACACAGTTGACATTTAAGTCCTTTAAAAGGCAAGTGCCTTAAGAGATAGAGTTGATACCTATATTGATTAAAAAACTAAACTCAAGTTTTAAAGTTATCTTGTGAGTTCTTGTAACAAACTCATGAGAAAATGTCTCCTCCTAGGTGGCAGGCTTTAAGAGACAGATGGCTGATACTGGAAAATTGAACACACTGTTGCAGAGAGCCCCACAGTGTCTTGGAAAATTCATTGAGATAGCTGCTCGTAAGAAGCGGAACTTTATTCTGGATCAGGTATGCTGTGACTTCATGTGTGGGTATTTTCATGTAGGTTATTTGGAAGTCTAAAATTGAGTGATCTAGCAGTTGGGAATACTTTTTTTTCCAGTGATTGGGTGGAAGAGTTATTTCAGTCTTCTGTGGTACTTGCACATAGCTATGCACAATTGCCTAATAAACACTGGTAATGTTCACAACAAATGGATGAATATTCTCTTTGCAGCTGACCATAGCTGTCAAATTTATTATTATGTAACTTTTGTTCTAGACAAATGTGTCTGCAGCTGCCCAGAGGAGAAAAATGTGCCTGTTCGCAGGCTTTCAGCGCAAAGCTGTAGTAGTTTGCCCAAAAGATGAAGACTACAAGCAAAGAACACAGAAGAAGGCAGAGGTGGAGGGGAAGGATCTTCCAGAACATGCAGTTCTCAAAATGAAAGGCATGAAGCTTTGTTCTGATACCTTGTAAAGGCCATTGTTAGACACTTAGATTTTTACAAGTTCATTTGCAATCTTCAAAGCCAAGCACAAATTTTGAAGTGTTTACTTTCTGTTATTAATATTGTCTTGATTCTTGGTATCATCACTTTGTCCATTTAGCTCTGTGATATTTTTGTAAACCCCTAGAAAAGCCAAAAATGATAGTAATTGAGAGGTTATGGCAATTTCTAGTCAAAGCCTAAAATACTTTTGGATGTTTAATATTGTTTATTTTCTTGACTTTATAGGGAACTTTACACTGCCAGAGGTAGCTGAGTGTTTTGATGAGATAACCTATGTAGAGCTGCAGAAAGAAGAAGCTCAAAAGCTTTTGGAGCAGTATAAGGAAGAAAGTAAAAAATCTCTTCCTCCAGAAAAGAAACAGAATACTGGCTCAAAGAAGAGCAATAAGAATAAGAGTGGCAAAAACCAGTTTAATAGAGGAGGTGGTCATAGAGGTCGTGGAGGATTTAACATGCGTGGTGGAAACTTTAGAGGAGGTGGTAAGTTGAAATTTTTAGTTTAAGTTTTTCACAGCGTGTCTAAATTAGGTTAAATGAAATGATTCAGTAATGTGAGATGAAATATAAATTTTTTCATTTTGATCCTGAACCTAAACACCAAATAAGATAAGCTTTTCTATCTGCAAAATAGAGCAAAAAAGGATAACACGTTAATCTTTGAATCTGTTAATGCTGCTTAAGTCTTTAATAAAAATCATTGTATATTAAAATTTTGTGTCAGTAGTATTTGGAGTTAGATCCTGGTATTAACCCCCCATCATCCATTTGATTTGACATTAAACCTAAAAAAAATTTCAATAAATAATGTGAAAGCATATAGTAGTTAAATATATTATAATTTAAACCTTAGTCAGTAGGGTAACTTATTCCAAAACATGATTGATGTTTAGGTTCTGTTTTAAGTTGTGGTGTTAAATTTTTAGTTTGCTCTGTGTGTGAATGTACAAAGATATTAAAATTTCCTTTCTTTTTAGCTCCTGGAAATCGTGGTGGTTATAATAGGAGGGGAAATATGCCACAGCGTGGTGGTGGTGGTGGAGGAAGTGGAGGAATTGGTTATCCATATCCTCGTGGTCCTGTCTTTCCAAGCAGAGGTGGTTATTCAAACAGAGGCAACTACAACAGAGGTGGAATGCCCAACAGGGGGAACTACAACCAGGTAATCTTTCTTAATATCTATAGGCACTACACTGACTTACTGGTCTGTTGTTACATGGGTTGTATTTTATAGGATAGTAAGAGCTTTCAAATTAATTCTGAACCAATGGAAGTTGAAAGTACTATATTTGAGATTTGTTTCTGTTGGTATAGGTGTCCTAAATTTAAATAAATTTTTCTTGTTTTTAAGAAACCCAGCAACCCCAGCATTCGCATAAACAGGAGTTTCATGTGCTTGAACTGATTCAGAATATGAAGATGCTGCCCTTTTTAAAGGAACTTAATGTATTATTTAGCATTCTTGAGATAATTTCTTAAGAGCCGTAGTTCTAAAATGAAGTCATCAAATAGAAGATAAGAGTTTGTTAAAAAAAAAAAAGTTTAGTTGGCAATGGCAACCTAGCTTTTTAGGGCTTTAAAAGGTGTCAGATTTCCCAGCTGGTGATAGTCATTTGAGATGCCAGTAGGAGGAGTCTAGAATTTAGCTAATAAGGAATACTGGTTAAGTGACCAGTCTCTCTAACCTCTCCTTCCTCCCCTGTCTTCAAGTTAAGATATTGTTAGAATGTTAGGGTTTTTTCTTTTTAATATCTAGTGACCTCTTTCCACCCATTTTAGAGCATGGAACAAGTTGTACAAGGACAAATTACTGTATTTGTTAGCAGTACTTAGATTAATTTTTTTTCCCTCTAGAACTTCAGAGGCCGAGGAAACAATCGTGGCTACAAAAATCAATCTCAGGGCTACAACCAGTGGCAGCAGGGTGTAAGTAATTTTATGCACTTTCCACTTCAAATTTATTTGTATCTTGAGTTGGAACAAGAATCAGTCCTGTAAAACTCTTCCACTGGTTACCAAAATGTTAAAATGCAATGGTGAAGTGTCCCAAACTGGCACTAGCCAGTGTTTTGTGGAAGTTCTTCCTGCCCAAAATACATCTCCAGGTACAACAAATGATAGCCTAATTTGATAGTTAACAAATAGCTTGTATAATAGATGGTATATAGTTTTAGCTAACCAGGTCCTGGTGTGTGCCCTTTTATAAAGTGTTGATCATTTGGGGATATTAATGCTATAATTAAATAATGGTGTTTTAATGAAATCAGAGGTAAGACAGGTCTAATCTGTTCTAGCAGACACATTGCTCTGCGTTAGATTCAATGTCATATCCTAAAAGCAACTTGAGTGGCTTATTGATGTGTTTTTTCTTTAAAAAAAACAAATTTTCTCTTGCAGCAATTCTGGGGTCAGAAGCCATGGAGTCAGCATTATCACCAAGGATATTATTGAATACCCAAATAAAAACGAACTGATACATATTTCTCCAAAACCTTCACAAGAAGTCGACTGTTTTCTTTAGTAGGCTAACTTTTTAAACATTCCACAAGAGGAAGTGCCTGCGGGTTCCTTTTTTAGAAGCTTTGTGGGTTGATTTTTTTCTTTTCTTTTTTGTACATTTTTAATTGCAGTTTTAAAGTGAATCGTAAGAGAACCTCAGCATTGTGCACGATAAGAGAATGTGTCAGTATTTCAGGGTTCTACATTTTATCTGTAAAATGTGACTTTTTTTTTTACCACAACAAAAGTAAAATGTTGCTTTGTACCTGGTGTCTTTTATTAAGATTTACTCCCCCTATTTCTCACCGAGAATAACAGTCGGGAGTCATTTGTCACAATACAATAGAAATGTTAGCAACCAGATTCATGTAAGGGCTTTAGTGGTCCTCATGAATTTCACGACTTTGTACTGCTCACATTACACTCCATCCTCTCTGTAGTTTGGTGGGTAGAGGAAGGGGGTAAACTAAGCAGTAGTTCTTGGCAATAACTGGGATGGGTTTTTATAACAATGGAATTGGCATAGCTGGGGAATTGAAGGTAAAGCTTGGAGCCAAATAGGGAAGATGGAGTGTATGTAGAAGGGCTCTTTAAAATGTAAAACTCGGTTGCATTATCTGTGGAGGCTCAAACTTGTGAAGGTACAACACCATAATTTTTTTCCATTTGTTCTGCATTTTGATTCTGAAAAGAAAGCTGGCTTTGCCCATTTCTTATTAAACAAAACTTGTTGTAAATCCAGTTGTCTAATGGGATCTATATGAAGTTAGCTATGTCTGTATACCCCTTCTCCCACAAAATACTGTATACCTAGTGTGCTTGTAGTAGTTAACTCCACCATCTTTGTAAGCTAATGAAATTGTGAGTCACCCATTTATATCTAATTTTTAATCATGTCAGTTCTTGAATGGGTATCTCCTTAGCCTGCTGATTTCTTTTTCTTTCTAAAGAAAGTGGGTGGAGAAATTAATTTAGACGTTTGTTTGCAATAAAATGAATTCATTTTACTCTTGTTTGGGATTCTCGCCATCAAGGTCCAAAATCCCTTTAAATCTCCCCAAAGGGGGAGAATTTATAAGTGTGTGCTTTCTGGACAGCTTCATTTCTCTGCACTTGGAACATTTAGGTTTTAAAAACTTAAATGTGTACTGGCAACTGATTTATTTAGAAATACTGATGTAAAGTTGTATTTTCCCCCCGCCCCCAAGACTTTAAAATGTTAGGAGGGGAAAGGGTACTGGCTGGGAGAAGTTAATACTGTTTTATCATTACATATTAAAAGATGTTGAAATTGCTGTCCACAAATGTATTTATAGTACATGTAACCCGATGTATGGGAACAATTGCTTTTAGAAGCTATTGATCATATGAGCCAGTCATCGATTCACTACTACACAACACTGCTAACTTAATATTATAGCTATGTGATAATTAGATCCCCTAATTGTAATTTTATTGGGTTTGCACAGAACACAAATTTTAAAGGACTCTCACTGTGAAGTGAGGAAATAGGAGTCAAACTGTAGAACTAAAATTTGACTTCAAGTTTTTCTTTCCCAGTTTAGGTTGTTAATCAGCATCACTTTCAGTGGATTTTCTAATTATGTTAGTTTTTTTGTATTAGTTGTTTATATAAAAATTTTAAGCTTTTTCATTATCTAAGGCTAGGAATCCCTTTTAGAAGATGTGTGCAAGTGGTGGTTAGGGTTTAATTAGTTGAAAAAAATGAATTTTATCAACTTTTGTAGTTAAGAGAAGACAACCCTAGCAACTATTTAAAGATGGCAGTGGTAAGGGACGTAAGCTACTGAAATAGTGGATTATTGCTATAGAAAAGAATTGGTTCACTATTTGCTTATTGTGTCTAAATTGAGGGGGAGGGCTAAATTGTCAGTATTCCCATTTTTTTGAGTTAAGGAGTAAACAGCCCAACAAGTTATTCAGACTTGTTATGGGGCATGTGGTGTCTAAAACAATATTTGATTCTGTTAAATCAGATTTATCACAAATTCAACTGCTTACCACAATTATAAGACATCACAGATACCACCCAGAACATCTCCCATTACTGGCTGTTGAGTTTCTTTTCAGAAAACAGGGTCATTGAAGTCAAATTTACATGCATTCCAAGTTACCAGGTGATTAAAGAAGGTAGTGGACGAATTATTCTCCTAAACATTAAGGGATCTGGCTCAGAGAGGGAATTGCCCAAATGACAGGACTTGGACAAGGTCTTCTGATTTAAAAGTATGATAACTAATTGGTGCTTGGTAATAATGCTGTTTACAAATTGGGTAATACTGGGTACAAATTGGGCAGCTGCCTACCAGAAAAACCTAAAACTTTGAGACGTCTTCAGTAAGAAAACTACTTGGAAGTTAAGGATTTATATAATCTTAGATATATCACCAAAGATTAGGAGCCCTGTAAATGAGTTTGAATGTTTTGAGATTGAAGTATGAATTTCTCCCTGCCCTGCCTTCTTGCCCTTCCCAGCCAAGTAGAGGACAAATTGCATCAACATAATTCAGAGGAGTTTATGATGGATTACTTCAACCTAATGCAATTTTTTCCCCTCCACACTTGATGAATATAATAGCAAACCAAGCTAGTTACTAATTCGTTTTAAAGAGGCTAAGTAAAGGTGGTCTGTCTTAGCATTTTCAATAAAGTAGGTTGGAGGTGATTTGGAGATTGAATGATTTGGGGTTAAACTGGCAATTAAGGAAACAACATTAAGGTAAGGATTGTATGCAAGGTTTAAAAAGGATAGTAAATATGACAAGAAAAGTAGTAAATTAGCCCTAACTTAGCCATACATAGTACCTAAGGAAAAAACAGTATCTGTTTCTATGGGCCAGAAAGATGACATTGCATTGGTTTACTCAATATTGATTAGACCTTGGGCTCAGGAAGCTGTCATCCGTGATTTTTATGATTTAAAGAGTAGGAAGAAGTTGAAGGAGGTGTTAAAGGATGTTAAGGAACACTTTAACCTGAAGGATGACATAGCACATATATCTCAAGGAGAATGGGGGGGGCCCCAAAAGGAATTTAAAATTAATATGTGGTTAGTAGATAAGTAATAAAGGTTGGAGAGAAAGGCTTGAATGATCAAGGAAGATATGGAGGTCTATAAAAAGCACATATCCTTATTTTCCTGGAATGGTATAATTGGTCCTGCCTAAAGTTTAGAATATATGAGATTAGTTCTTTGTAACAGGTACAAATCTATTTGTGGGAAGTAATTTTTTTCTTTTTTTCAATATTGTGCTTGTTTTGGCAAAGGTGTCAGAAATACTTAAATTCTTTTTGAGGATACTACTATGTTTATGGCTTTTTTTTTGTTTTTGTTTTTGTTTTTTACTCTGGGGGCAGTTATATTCTGAATATTGTGAAGTGACCAGAAGGTATTTGATTGTTACTCTTTCCAAGGCCATTATCTGAACTGAGTATCAGAAAAGATTTTATGCTTCTGATTGTTAATTAAAACTGGGCCTTAGAAAAACAGGTAAAAACAACGAAGTGTAAACACCTAGTTAGGTACTAATGTTTATAATAGGAAGAATGAAAAATTAATGCAATAGGTTTGCACTACTCAAACCTAAGAAGAGGCAGTAATTATTAAAATAAGCTTTCTTAGTATCCTAACCTTACAGCTGATTTACATGCCTTCCCCTACAGTTTTTAGAGGCCTTACAAAGGTTAAATAACTAAAGCCCAATTTACATGTACCAAATATTAGTCAAAAATTCTAACTCGGTACCAATACATACTTTTCTACTGTGCTACATTGCTCAAATATGATGAAAATTGTGATTACCTTGTTATAAAGGCCATTTGTTATAGAGAGTAGGGTTCTGTGTCCCTAACACAAAATCTTGGACAGATGACTCATTCCTACCTTTCTGTTGGTGGAGATTGATGAGCATAGTGAGTTGTATACCTCAGACATTACAACTTCAATGGTAAAACACTTAAAATTACTGGCTTGCCATTTCTTATACTTAAAATGATTGTTTTCTCACAAATGTTTAAGAAGCAGAAACTGAACCCATCCACACTCTGGCTCAACACCAAATCAAGATATTTCTGAAGGCCTATGTAATTCCTTCTTTTAAAAATTCTCTTCTTGGTATTAATGTGATTAAGGGGTAATGGTTTGCTATTGGGAATTCTTCCCAAGGATGTAGTGAGGTAATGACTCAGCAATGATGTGCTTTTGGTTGGGGGCCTTTCAGTTTAGTCCTGAGCCATTCAACTTGTCTACAGTCTGGTGGAACCTAAAGTAGTTTCTACACTGCTATATGTCTTTTCTTGAGCTTAAGAGAATGTTGAAATTTTGGCTTTCCTTCTGCCAGTTCAGTATGTGAACAGTGGTTGATGAAAACCAGAATGCCTACACAATACAATCAGTGCTTAGTACAAAAAAACAGTGTAGTGTATTAAATATTTTCCTACCTTGAGCATATCTTAAAATTCCTAATTTGTTAACTTGTGGCCTTGTTAAATTATGTAATTGCTGTTAACAGTTTTAAAAGCCTTGCTTAGATTACAGTCTGAATTTTTATTTTTACTTTTTTTGGGGTGGGGAGAAACTTAAAAATTTTCAAATTCGGATGTGTTCAACTCATTTAGTTTTCTTATGATTTCTTTGACCAAGTGAAGGTTTTATTTAAGTTACTTTTCTGGACACATCTGTCATCCTTCTCTATCCAAAGTACGCTAAGTTCAGATCTAATATTTTAAAGGCAGAGAGCAATTTCAAGAACTGGGTCATTAAGCACTTAATATTCTTTAAATAAAAGATGACAGTTGTCATGTGTCAAGTGTTTTGAGGCGTGATGGGTTTTGCACTGAACCATCCATTCCTTCAGATAGTCAGTGGGACACATTTGCAAAACCAGTCTGTAACTTTGGAAGGTTTTCTATACAAAAATTAGCCTATGGGGCCATCTTTTAGTTATGGCTATCCCTGAATTGGTTTTACTCAATAGAATACAGTTATTTTTATGGGATTAAATAAACCCTCTTAGTTTAATGTAATAGAGGTACAAATATATATTTTATATAGTAACACCGTATTTAATATGGCTCTCACACTTTTTGAACATGGCCAGGAACCCATGAGGAAAGCTTTTGACACTTGAAGTGACTACCTAGTGTATGTTATGCTAGGGAAGGAACCAAATTTAGTGACAGAATCAGATGTAAAATTAACAATTTTCTGAACTTGGTGATTTGGTTTTCTCTAGCAAATTTCGAGTTTTTCTAGGTCATAGATATGAAAGAATGCTAGAAACTTACACTGACATCAAATGAAGAGACAATATGAGAATATTCAGAGAAATATGTGGAAAGGCAAACAGTGTTAGTTCATTAGCGTTTGAGGGCACTACTGTTAAATATGGTTTAAGTGGTAACAGTGGGCCAAGTCCTTAAAATGTTCAACATACCCTAAATGAGGCAGGGAAGTAATGTTTTGAATTTTCATCAAAGCATTTTTAAAGTTTGACACTTTTAAGAGGTAAGCTTCAGTAATCTGAAAAGTTCACATTTATGTGGGACACTTCATTCCCTAGAGGGGTATAAATATGGGGGTTGGGGGAGGGGAGGACACACTAGTATTGTGTGGGGATAAGATGTATTGCAAAATAGGTTTATAGGGTTTTGCAACTAAATAGTCACTGCTTGATTAGATGACTTAGCTGGTTGAGACAATTTTTAATTAAATGAACTTGCAGCCATGTGAAGTTTTGAATTGTTTCAGGATCTATGTAAAATATACTGGCTTCAAATAAAATTTAAAAAACAAAACAACAAACCTTGATAATTAGATCACAGACAACTAAGAATCAACAGCTAAGCAAATAAATGTCTTAATGATTTCACCTAGAGTCCAAACATTATACCATCAATTGAAGAGAACTTGGCTCTTCTAAATCAAAAAGAATGTCAGGCAAATGGCCTGGTTTTTTTAAGGTTATCTACCTAAAGCCCCTATGCACAACCACTTCTCAATCATCAAGTGGCAATGGTTCATCAGAAAGAACACAGAACGTAGAATTTTAGAGATAAGCTGCTCCAACCTCATTTTATGAATGAGGAAACTGAAGAGATTGCCTTTGAATACTGGATTTCAGGTACAATTATAGTTTATTTAGCCATTTGGTAACTAAATAAAATCCAATCTAGCATCTCAAACTTCATATAACCAAAATGTGTTTTCTATCAGCAATTAGTCTGATAGAACTGTTGGAGGACATCTTGGGATGGTTTTTTCTTAGTGTGTTTG